ATAGGAGCATTGCCATTACATATAGGTGACATAGCTGTTGCATAGTAAGGAACAATTTTTATGTAAATGTTATATCACTGTGACATGATTTGGTTTGCTGGGTATTTTGTAACAGAAACTTAATTTTTCCTTAAATTGTTACTATAAAGTAATAAACATTTAAGTAAAACTTGGTTGCCCCCAAGAAGACTTTGCAACTTTAAAAAAGATTTTATAAGTAAAAAAAACTTTCAAGTAAATTTAATTTGTAGCAGTTACTTTCGGTTGCTACCTAAAGATTACATTATAATTATTTTTACTTTGTAGTCCCTTTGCAAGTTAAAATCTCGAAACTGGAACATGAGTTAAAAACTACAAAGTTAATAACTTAAAAGTTATTATTTTAGTAAACAGCTGTTTAGTATACTTAACTAATTTAAAGTTATCACCACTTTGGCAATGGTTTTTGGAACCAAAAATGCTGCTTGGGTATGATTTAAATCGTTATTAACCCAAAGTTAAATTTTTTGAATGAACATTTTTTTTGCAATTTTGTACGTTGGAAGCTTCATTTTGACATCATATGGAAGTCCACTAGTGGACTTCCATATGATGTCAAAATGAGCCTAGGAACGAAAATTGTGAAAAATTTTGGTTTACTTGTTTATTCTGAGTTATGTATACATTTGTTTATTCTAATCAAATTACAAACATAGGATTTAGGATAAAAAAGGTTTAGACAGTGGCGGCTGGTGAATTTTGGGTATACCAATATCTCAGTTATTAGACATATGAGGCCCATATAAAACATATGAGGCCCATATAAAACATATATGAGTTTATAATGACATTGAATAGACAATTAATTTCTGCGCAAGCATAATATAAATTAAAGTTTGCGAAAAAAAGTTAGTTTTTCAGCCCGCCTCACCAGCCCCCTACACCCAATTAAGATTATTCAAGTGGTGCAATTCATAATTCTGTAAGTCTTGGATTTTTAAAATAAATTTTTAATTTTGTCGATAAACTTTAGTGAATTATGAATTACACCACTTTATTTTGAATAATCTTAATTTTGGAGGTAGGGGGCTGGTAAGGCGGGCTGAAAACTAACTTTTTTTCGCAAATTTCAATTTAAATTCTGCTCGCGCACAAATTTTCTATTCAATGTCATTATAAATTTATATAAGTTTTATATAGGCCCCATAACTGATATATTGGTATTATAGGGAATTAATTAAGTTTTATTTTTTATTTAACACTAAACAAATAATTACATTGCCTTTAATAATAATTATGCTAGCATTTTAACATATTTTAACCCCTAATTGGTGACCTGGAGTACCTATACCAGACTTCTAAGCACTTTGCAATCAGTGCATATTTAAAAGTTCGCGCTAAATCTGTTTCGTCCTCCTGGTACCTTTAATCCTAGATGGTGTTATAACACTCTCTACCAATATTAGTTGTTTCCAAATTGTGTATGTAAATATGACCCAACCCAACACATGTGTTTAAAGTTGAAGGGGAGTCTCTTAGACTCCACATCCATCCCATCAGGATGTTTCTAGGATGACATACATTCTGGGAACATCCTTAGGTCGTTTTTAGTATGTTATATTTTATATTCCTAAATGACTTTTAGAAAGGTTTGAAATAATTCGAAAATTTTCAAAATAAGTTTTATTTTGAAAGGACACAGTTTATGCAGACAAACAGGCACCAATACCATTACTACCTAAAGCTTGCAGCTCGTTATTTCTTAACTTGTTAATTAATTTGTAAATACAAATACTTAACTGTAATAATGTTTAAATACTTAAAACATATTTAATTTAAAGTAAAAAACTGAAATACTGTAAATACTCAGTTAATATAAATAAATAATATAAAAGGAAACAAATAAGCACCCCAAAGACCTTTAAGGAACCAAATACCCCAGCTACATAAAATTCTAAAAGTATAATGAAAAAAACATACATATACATACATAATATATTATATACCTATAGCTAAAATTAAACATTTAATTCAATTTTTTTATTTCTCCTCTTAACATCTTTCTTTTGCCCTTCTTAACCAATCTCCAATTCGTTGCTCAGCCTCTTTGTAATTAATTGAATGCTCATATTTCTGTGCACATTCTGAAATAAAAATTATATTGTTAAGAAAAAGTTTCTGGGTAACTACAAACATAGAAACATGACCCACTCAGCTGTGGGTTCGATGCTTCTATAGTTGGATAAAAAAAAATTGGAAATATTCTTTTATTTTAAGTGGGGTAAAAAAATATAAAAAAAATCTGCAAAATCAAAAGGGGTTGGGTTTAAAAGTCTATTTTTATTTACCGATTATCGCTTTGGCTAATGATAAGCTTCCAAACAAAGTTTTTCCTTTTTTCCCTAAGAAGGAGAACTGTTCATCTAGACTATCTGTAATTATGGGTGCAAGACATCGTCTTATAAATTCATAGATTCCAAGTTGTGAAAAAAACTGAACCTATAAATCAGAAAAAGAAACTATACCCACTATAGAAAAAGAAACTATACTCTCTAATGTAACTTTATGAAAATTCTAGGATAGTGGATAAAAAAGAAATTACCAATGCTGAATAATTTTCAGAATCTGAAAGGAAGTTTTCAAAAACTTCCTTACGATATTCTGCTCCACATTTTCCCACTTTGGAATTAATTTCTAATAACAGAGACTGTATATAATATATATTATATAACAGTTGTGGATTGCAACAACAACTAGTACCTGTTTTGAATGTTTCACCTAAAATGCATTCATTAGGTACACTAACAGTTTTAAGAACAGCTCAGAAAACTTACCTATACTAATGGAATAGGGCTCTTTTTGGAAAAATTACTGCCTGCTTGGAAATCTGTAACAGTGAAATTTAATTAGTATTGACATAAAAGTAATAAACAGAACAACATTAATTAAATACATTATAAATAATATTATACTACCTTCCAAATTACTGCACTTTTCTTCAACAAGCTAAGAGATATCCAAGTTGGTGGAGGAGGTAATTTTTTGGATTTTTGCCTAGAGGCTCCTCGTTTTCCTAGTCAGAATATTATAATAATCCAGCGAGTCTGAGAGACTCCATGTCACCGTTAAAGTAAAACTTTTTCATGTCACCAGTTATACATACATACCTATATACATTAAACATTAACATTTATATCAATCTTTACCTTCTAAACAATTTCCTTGGTAAAATTGTCATAAAACTCCTATAATCTCATACTCCATACAAAAATAACTCTCCATGAGTGCTGGATAACACCAAGATCCACTTAAATGTAACTCACAATATGTGTACCTACCTATATCTTGCAATTTATTCCAATAATTATTATTGTATATTTGTATTTTCTGATATTCTAAAAAGGGGGATTTTATATTTATCTGTATTTTTGTTTGATGCTGCTTTGGCAATGGAATCCACCCTTTCATTCAAAACAATCCCTGAATGACCTTTTCCACCACAATTTTCAATTTTGCATATCTGTTTCAGAAGTACCTACTTTTCTTTGACCGAAATCTTGTTTGAACGAAAGTAGGTGAATCTCATTTAAGAAAATACTATTTTTTATGTAAAATGTGAACGAAGCCTTACGCCTTTGACGTTTCAAAAACAACGTTGCCACACATTTTAGACCCATCGCGCTTTTAAATTTTAGACCCATCGAGTTTAGATCTCTCGTGTTTGGGTGTCACGAAGCGTACCCAATTTATGACGTAACTAACGTGCCTTTAACATTTCGAATCGCGGCACGTTAGCGCGCCTCTAGTCACAGCGTTTTCTTTATGTTGGTGTTAAATACTTCTCATACCCAGTGCTGTCAATCGAGAAATGCGATAATACCCGCAATAGGTTTTCAAAATGCTCACAGTAATCCTCGCAATAAAATCAAAATCCTCACAAAATCCTCACCAAAACTTAAAAAAATAATAAGATATACAATTTAATAAGTTATCACTTATTTATATTAAAAAACATTTATATCATCCCAGATTTTTTTATTAAAAACAAATAATAAACAATTGACCATATGCAAGGAATGCGGTCGATGTTGCCAATGGTAAAAAAATAAAATTCCCTATTGGGAACATTCAATTATATTACGTTGGCTACACTGAAATTTTGAATTTCCCGCAGAAACTGACATACATTCTAGTAGTTCCCAGAGATAAAGAAGGTAGTTCCAATGTTGTATAATAAATTAAGGTGCGAATTTCAAATGTGGGAATTATTATTATTTATTATTATTAAAAAAACATGGAAATTAATTTAGTTTGTGCGGGAAATTCAAATTTTCAATGTAGCCAACGTAATATAATTGAATGTTCCCAATAGGGAATTTTATTTTTTTACCATTGGCAACACCGACCGCATTCCTTGCATATGGTCAATTAATAAATTAATTTTTTAATTTTATTTATAAGTAAATACTCACTTAAAAAATAATTATTAAAATAAAGTTTTTCAACAGTATATTATTGATAACTTATCGTATTTGAACTTAATTTCTTAAGCCACTTATCCATTACTTTAACTTTTAATTAAATAAAATTAAACCATGCAAAATAAGCGAAGTTTTTGTTTTTATTACATTTTAATCTTATTCTGTTGGCACACATGATTTCGTTTGTATTTTGTAATGTCATACACATACTTCCACAAGTATGTGATGTCATAGACTGTCAGTGCCATCTCTAGTCAACAGTCTGAACTATCGATCATCAGTGTTGCCGGACTTACCGAAAAATAAATAAATAATAATAAAATAATTCAATGTTTCCAGTAGTATAGTAGTAATCCTCACAAATCCTCACAAAAAGTTAATCCTCACACTTTACCCCACAGCATATCTAAATGCTCACCGATGTGAGCATTTACCCGCAAATTGACAGCACTGCTCATACCAAGTTGGTATTACCAACTGTAAAATTTGTCAACATTATGTTGAACATAACCTCTTTTTTAAAGTAAATATAATTCTGATATGAGTTTACCGACAGATTTTGGTCCAGATTCTGGAGGAAGAATAAAGGTTATTATTTATTATCTTTGTAATTATTAAAACCAATTAAATCTTGCAGGGAGTTTGTATAGTAAAGCCCATCGTATACGGTAATGTAGCAAGATATTTCGGCAAAAAACGCGAAGAAGATGGTCATACACATCAATGGACTGTGTATGTAAAACCATACGTTAACGAGGATATGTCTGCCTATGTAAAAAAGGTACATTTTAAACTACACGAAAGTTATACAAACCAAAATCGAATAGTGGTTAAACCTCCTTATGAAATCAGTGAAACTGGTTGGGGGGAGTTTGAAATTGTTATTAAAATACATTTTCATGATCCAAATGAAAGACCTGTAAGTAATTTTGTGTATTAAAATTATGTTGTTTAATTAGAGTTTTCAGGCTACAATGTACCATATATTAAAACTTTTTCATTCTGGTGGAACAAGGGATGTAAGCACTGAAAATGGGAAAGGTTTAGTTTCCGAAAGTTTGGATGAAATTGTTTTTCAAGATCCTACACAATTAATGCACCATTTATTAACAAATACAAAGCAGCTCACATTGGGGCGATGGGAACACAATACAAATTGTAAGTACAAACAAATTTTTTTTAATAATCTTATTACTAATTTAAATTTTTGTTTAGTTGAAGAAAAAAAAGAAAAAACCCAGAAATCCATTATGGATGCAAAGCAAAAAATAAGGACAGAAATCACCCAGCTAAAAAATAAGCTCAAATTAGCAAAAGAGACAATATCTCAGTTTAAAGATGAGATTGCAAAGGCACAGGATAATCAATTCATGTTGTAGGTTTTTTGTAACTAACAGTATGTTTCTTAACTGATCCACAAAATTAAAGCACCACTTTTTTAAATTTATTTAAAATTCTAATAAACTGGTCCAGAAAGTTCTATTTTGGACAAAATAGTGAGTTTGTAGGTTTTTTCTAATACATGCTGGGCATTTTTACACTACTGAAACCTTTTAAAAATCCATGAGGGAGGTCTTTAAATATCTTGTGTGTGTTTTCAAGCCTATTTTCATCACCAAGTTTTCACATGGGTCCTAAAAATGCAGATATTTTTCTAGAGTCCCAGCATCACCTGACTTTGGTAACCCTCACCATTCAGGGATATTTTTGAAACGATTTGCATATTTCTATGCTCTAAGATAGGGGTCACCATTGGTGACTCACAAATTCGTTTTATTGGAGAGCCGAATTTTCAGATTGTTGCGGTCTGGACCGCTGCAGCGCGGTAGCAAATTTCTAATTAAAAATAAAACAAGAAGTAAATTGAAATATAATGTGTATTAAAGTTAATATCAATTTCAATATGCATGCAAATAACTCTCCCTCATGCCTTCTTTTCAAAATAAAAAATAATGTAAAAAATGACATTTTTGCCATGGGCCAGCTGGTATACGCTATTTTCATCAACTTATGATGTTCATCAGTATTCAGGTCCGCATAAAATTGGCTGGCGGTCCAAATCCGGACTGCGATCCGCCTTTAGGATAACAATGTTATCATACCATTACCAATTATGTTCCTTATCTGAACTCCGCAAGCGACCTTTTTTACGTTATCTACTCACAAATCATAAAGGTTTACCTCTAATTTATACAGAAGGCCTTCTTTGTACTAAATTTTTACATGTTTGTGTTAAGGGGATTTATTGGGTCGATTACCGCATATCGGTAGCATTATTATCTCCAGGAGATAAAGACTTAAAAGACGTGAAAATTGCTTTTCATGGTGATAACTTCGTCTGCGACATTTTTTTTAACATCATTTACATAAATTTAAATAGTCGTGCTTTAATTTTGTCCATAAGTTTATATTTTTAAGTAAAAATCAAACAAAAATTGTATAAATGTAGTTTTATTGTTTTAGTTTACTTTCAACTTCCTTTAGTTTGAGTTTATATTGTTGCTCCATTTTGTTGATGTTACTTTTAAGCACCTGGTTTTCGTAATTAAGTTTGTTGATTATATTATCAACATATCTCTTTTGCCGCATTAAAACATCTTTGCTTCTATCTATTATGGATCTTTCATTGTTGGCCACTTCAGCTTGCAAATTTTTAATGCTTTCTTCATACATAACTTTGTTTTCGTGAAGGTTGGTTTTTAAGGTATTGTTTTCTTGTTTTAGTTTTAATAATGATTCTTTCAAACCATCATTCACTTGTACAAGGTGACGTTTTTCATTTAGAGAAACTGTAAGATTTGCCAGCAAGTCATTCACCATGGTGTTCTTGTATTTTAAATTTTTAATGCCTAAATTATCCTTTATTTGTTTTTTGGGTAAGAGAGAGTAATCATACTCATCAAATTCATTAGCCTTTTTTGGTTGAACAGTTAGTCTATTTGGAAATTGAATGTTAGCGTTTACCGCATTGAATTTTGATTTTTGCCTTCTGCCTTCTGAAAGGGTATTCATACTAAAAATTTTGCTTTGGATGAAATTTTATGAAATGATTTGTCAAAATGATTATTTGATATAAAAGTGGATAACATGATATGGCAAAATAAATTTGATTGTGACCATAGAAATTATACAGGGTGGTTGGGAAAACAGAAAAAACGAATCTTTGTGTTACCCATGTAAAAATCTCGTTGTGTGATTGCAATTAATTAATTTATAAATTAAAAAAAACAGCTGTTCTCAAATATTTGAAAAAAACTAAAACCTTTTAAAACCAAAAATGGTTAAAACTTCAAAATAAATGTATAAGTTTACATGTGAAACTTACTTTTTTAAATTCCCTGGAATAATGAAGTTTTAACGATTTTCGGGTTTTACAGGTGTTCAGTTTTTTCCTAATTATATGAAAACTGGATTTTTCTTCTTCAAATTTTAGATGCTATTTTAATAGACTTGTAATTACATAATTTTTCTCTAATATAACCAACTTTGTACCTCTAAATAAAAAAGATATTAATACATAGAAGGATACTTGGTGCATCCTGTATAGAGTGCTTGCAAATCCAAGTCCAACCGGGTTGGGAAGAACGGTTGTTCAATACCCGCGTGAAAATAACAAGGATAGAACGCCAAACAGGTGGTGGTAGCCTGCCGGCTCTGACCAACGAATTTTTGTTTGGCGTTCTATCCTTTTTCTTTTCACGCGGGTATTGAACAACCGCCCTTCCCAACCCGGTCGGACTTGGATTTGCAAGCACTGTATACGTCAATAACACTCCATAATAACTGTTAAAATCTATATTAATAAGAAATAAATTTAGGAATACATAAAACAATAACTATAAAATAATACATTATTAATAATTAATAATTATTACTAACCTAACCTACAGTAGCAGTAATTAATTCCGCCACTTCTGCATCGGCTGATCTAACAGTCAGCTGCATGGTTACACCTTCAGATAGCGCCAGTTTTGCTCTCACCAAAACCTCGTATCCACCTCTATAAACACCGGCCAAAAGTAACGTGTGAGTGGTTTTGCCCTCTTGAACCTTATCGCTGCGTTCGCAGGGTTGCAAACCCAAGTATTGCACGATGTTTTTAACGGCTTCTTCCAAAGAGTTGAATGTGCTTAGCGAGTAGGTATCTTCTCTTTCTTCGAATGATTTTTCTGCTTCTTCCCAAGACACTTGCCAGTTTGCTTTACTTACTTTTTGGATTTGGTCGCCCAAGGTAATTTCTAGGTCTTCCAGCATGTATTCATCATCATAACCTGTGAAAAATAATTTAGTTTATTAGGAAAACCCTCTAGGTAAATCACATTATGTTTTTTTTTTTGTTTTCTTTACAAGACAACAACCTAGAGTAGTTAAGTAAACATTTTAATTAAAATATGTAAACATTACAACATTACCCCACACCAGTCAAGATAGTGCAGAGTCAACAAACGACCTGAGAAAGTAATTGGTGGACTTACCCTCATCAGTGTCTGGCAAGCCCGTGGTAGGATCACAATCTTTGACAACAAACTTCATCACTGCTCCAAAGGTACCTACAGTACCAACCAAATCCTCTTCAGGGAACTCAACAACAACATAAGCAGTTCCTGTTTCGTTGTAAGGCAATTTGGGGCAAGGAAATTCCTGGACCACCCTGTAACCCTCGCTGGGATCCACCTGAATTTTAACTTTTTCGAGTAATTGATCACTAAGGGTGTTTAAACAATCAAATTGAAGCACCATGTGCTTAGCGTAGCAGTGCTTGATGCAGCGCACAAAGTACTCCGTCTCAGATTCGGTAAGTTCCACAACTTCTGATGTTTTAAATAACGAACCCATATCCAAAATTTCCGGAAGTTCAGATATCCTAAGAAAATAAATTTTTAAAGTTTAAAGATTAATAAATTAGTTTTACATTGAATCTTACTTTTCTGCATAGTTGACTTGTTTATTGGAAACAGCAGCTTTAATTGGTCCAGCGCTAACCAGCATACCATCTGGCTTATGTTTGTGGTGTTCTTCTTCGCGTGAGGTAGGTATAGCCTGGAGGGGCACAGACTTCATATCAAAAGGTTGATTGGTAGAACCTTGTGTGTATTCTCTTAAACTTTTTTCCAAGGATGGAATAGAAACCTTTAAATAAACATAATAATTATTGTTTTAAAAATTAATGCTGCAGCACTGCAAAACTAATCTTCTTATCATTATAGAAAATTGCATAGAAGTCTGCTTCTTAAATATTTGTCTTTTATTTTTAAGTTGGATTTTTTATTTAATTTTGATTAAATGGACACTAAATAAAAAACTACCTGTAAAGTATCCAAAACATAGTTATTATACAAGCTTTTATCCTGTTTGCTTAGAATGTTGCTGTAGTATGTGGCGCGATCTCTGACTTCATCGTCGGAATCCATTTGACAACGGGCAAGCAAAACTTGTATGTTTTCTAGTAAATCAGGACAGGAAGCACCAAACTGAGCCATGGAAGAAACTGCAGCAGCTCTGATGGAAGGACATTCCAAAATTACTCTGTTGTAAATAAATCTAATGTATCTGAAATTAAAAAAATCAGTTATGTATTTTAAAAATGCAATAATGCTGGAAGTATTCCAAAATTGTAAATGGATTTTAGTTTTCCGTTTGTGGTGATCATACAACTGTGTGCGGATAATATTATGAGCTCACATGTGATTTTAAATGAATATCACGAATCTTATCTGGGATAATATTGATATGAAAACAATTCTAGTACTTAAAAATAAAAAATTCGTATCAGGTATATTTAGAATTTTATATATTTACGGATTACAACCATTGAAATTTCAATTCACTCAGTAATCTGGGTTGCCAAACCGGCCTGGGGTGACGTGGAAAAAGCTTAATATACGAAAATTTTTTGGGAGCACAGCTACCACCTTAGTGCTCGCTCGGGGGTAAGTGTAACTTATTGTAATATACAGTCCGCGCGTTATAACTTGGCGAAAACGCCCTATGCGCCCTTCAAGTTTAGTTTAACACTTGTTTGGCAAAGCAGTGGCGCGTATTCAATATTTTTGTCATTAGTTCAATTTATTGTATAGAACCTGTACCCAAATTTCATCGTATCGCAAAATTATTGATATATATATATAATATATTAAATTAAAAAAAGTGAAGGTATCAAAGTAGTATAATCTTAAAAGGTACCTTATAATTATATTAATACGTACAATATATTTTACCTGTATAAAATACAATTTTGAAGTTAAGGTAACAAAGCAGGGGCATTCCACGTTACTCGGTAATTTTTGTCCCACCCGTCACAATTAAAAATTGTGAGTAAAAACCACAAGTTATAAAATTAATATTTTTTAATATTATTTTTATTGGGCTTATAACTTATTAAAAGCATAATAAAACACTATTTTAAAATAAATTTTATAATGTATAGTTTTTACTCACAATTTTTAATTGTGACGGGCGGGACAAAAATCCCCGAGTAACGTGGAATGACCCAGCAGTATAATTTTGAAAGATACCTATATATAAATATAACTAAATACGTATATAACCAAAATGAAACATTACCAAAAATAATCCAAGAAGCAATATTGTCAAGTGAAGAAGTAATGGCGAAACGAAAAATACACATAAATATATTTTAAAAATAATAAAACTGAGGAAGAGAATCTGAGTGCTGTGAAATAAAAAGTAAGTTGTGCTACTGGTGTATCAGTGCGAACAATTTAAAGAATATTTGAAGAAGGAAGAACCGCTGATACTCAACCAACAAGTTCCAAAGCAATGTTTAAGAGTTCTGGCAAGAAGCGTCGAAGAATTTTCGCTATTATAGCGGCGCTATATGAAGCAAACGAAATTCGCGATATTATATATAATTATCACATTACCAACGAAAGACGGGTAGCATTGGAAAAGCTAAAAGAAAAGATTAGAGAAGACATTGGCTGGATGGATGTAAAACTTCTCTTCGAAAAATATTACACAACATGGGATTTCATTTTAGAAAATGTCGAAAAATTAGGCAATTACTCATTGAAATAAGGTATTATCGAAGTGAATCCCATTGTTTATTTGGATGAAACTCATCTTCATGATTTTCACACTTTTTCTAAAAGCTGGAGCGACGAAAGTAACAATGGTTTATTTTCCACTGTTTCAAAAGGAAATAATTTAATTATAATTCACACCGGCGGAGAAATGGGTTTTATACCTAACTGCCTCTTAGGCCCGTTATTTTCAATGCGAGTAAACTTTCGTGTTAGTAAACCTAGGATTAACTTAAATTCGATATTAACTTGAAGTTATGTTTTTATGGGTTTTTCCAAAGATTTTGCTACCCGAGTTTGGTACCTAACTCTAAGTTAAGAAGTTTATCTTTATGTTGGTATCCGTCATTCCATTATTAATCTATGGATTTTATTTAAAATTGGGAAACCATTTATGGACGGTCTGATAAAGTGAGTTTTTAAAGGTGTCTACGCAGTTTTTGATGGAAGAGCATGGACACACTATGTTGAGGTTACCACCCTACCACCCCGATCTCAAAACTATTGAGCTCATTTGGGCAACAGTTAAGAACAATGTGGCTCGGATAATTGTCATTTTTAAACGATGCAAAAAAATTGCGGGAGAAGAATTTGCTGAAATATTGCAAGAGGATTGGATAAAAAGATGTCACCACGCAATATCTATGGAAGATAAATATGACCGGAATATAGTGTTGGATGATCATGTAGAACCATTTTTAATTAATCTAGATTCAGATGATACTAGCGATGACGTCAGTTTTTTAGAAGAATATTAATTAATTATTATTTAAGTAATTGTACCAATGAATGTTTTATTCATACCGGGATACAATATTAAAACTAAATATCGCTGGGTTACTGCAAGAATAAGATAATTCCATTTTTAAATTTTTTGACCGTTGACATTTTTTAACATATAAATGTTTCTGCAAGGACAACTCAACTACGAGCAAAACCGAATCCGATCAATGTCGAGCGCAACAAAAATGCTATAACTTCATTTTTGGTAAATAGACCCAATAAAAATAAGTTACAAATTCAAATTACTCAAAACAGTGTTTTGGGAGTTATCTGGTTTTTGCAGTAACCCGACAAGATATATAGATTATTTCACTCTTCAAAATTTAATCTTAATCTTCGAAGCCGCTGGTAGGCAGTACTACTTTCAGGCAAAGTAAATGTTATATTCTTAAAAGTATGCTTTGTACTTGACAAAGACAAAGAGCCAATACTTTCCTAATACAGTCATGCTTAATTTTTAAAGAAACATTTACAATTATTTGAAGTCTGTATTTTTTTGCGGAGGTTCCAGTTTTCCAGACATGGTTGAAACAAAATTTTTATTTCAAACAAGTAAAAAACTAATGTGGACAGTGACGCTCTTCACCTCGAGGCAAACGGTCGTGGATCTAGACCCTCATTTAACGCGCTCGTACTTCCATAGTGATTGAATACAACGAATAATTTTTCCTGGATTACCAACACAGAAACAAAGCTTGCTAATAGTGGCTGGTTGAGGTTAAGAAATAACTTCATCATACCTGCTTAGGTGTCAATGCACCTGAAGTATTATTTTGCGTAAACCGGATAAGTATAATTACCTAAATTACATGTTCTTAATAATACCCAATACTAAATTTTAATGCCAAATTCGCAACCTTAACTAACAAAGAACTCCATCAGATACATTAATATTTGCCAACAGTTCCCATACTTAGTTTTGGGTCAGTTTAATGTCCTTCAAAAAAATATTTGCCCACCTTGTCCTGCAATCCACTAGCCTAAATCGGGCGTATGGCCTTAACCATCGACACTGTCATCCACGACCTCCTAGGGGAGATTTACCAGCCGGGGTGAAAATTCGGATCCACTAAACACAGGCAATGCTGTGCAGTTGCGGGATAAAGGTGGTAAAATAACCCTGGGTGATCAGTGTAAGGTGTTGCCGTTGGGGCCAGACATACTCAACAAGTAAAAAACTAATTGGGAATCAATATTTTGCTTTGTTTATAAAATTGATACTTTATCATGATGATCTGACAGATAAATTTCTCCAGACTAACAGATTTTCCAAAGTAAAATTTAGTTAATTTTTGTTTTTGACTGGACAACAAAGGGGTGGTCCCTAAGCACAGCCACTTATTTCCAAAAAATTGTCTATAATAGTTTTTTAAATAAATGCTAAATAAAAATTTTAAAATAGGAAAGTATAACAAGAAAACTTTTGTTAACCTTTTTTTCTTATGACTTTTCTAGCCATGAATAATCAAGGCCCATTTGCACTAACTTAACGCTAAATTTAACTTAAACCCGAATTTTAACTTGGCATGTTGCAACAAAAAACCTCTCACTTAAATTCGTCAAGATTACCTTAAATTTTAGTCCTGGTCAATTCCTTTGAAAAATCATGCAGTATACCGTACCTTCATTTGCAAGCTAACCATAGGGAAAATACATTGTAACTGGACCAGATAAGTCTTAGTCAGCACGAAGCGAAAAACGTTGTAGAAATGATTTGGACGCGTGGACGAGTAGGCTAGCATGCGCCATAACAGTTGACCTTGCTTTATACATCGATGCTTTATTATTGTTTTTTATTTTGTGCGGTGTAAATCTGGTAAAATTTGTTTTAGTACGCATGTCTCGACGACGCGTCGCGACGCATCCAAATCATTTCTGAAAAGGTTCTCGCTTTGTGTTGTCTGCGACTCATCTGGTCCAGTTACAATGTATTTTCCCTATGGTTAGCTTGCAAATGAAGGTACGGCATGCAATGGGTAAATGACAATATTGGATTTGATTTTGGTGGAAAACCGGTCAGAATGCAACCCTAACTCAGATGAAATGTAAATAAAGACTATTTAACCGTTATAAATTACCTTGATGGTTGTTTAGTTTTTGGTCCTTCTTTGCCCAACAAGTGCAAAATTCTTACAGCCAATGAAAAATGTTCGCAATCTTCTATAAACTCGCACAAATGTGCAAGTCCAGTTTCCTTTGCGTCTGGATTATCTTCAATTATTGTAATAATTGTATCAGCAATAGATGCTTTGTATTCCAAACCACCTTCCTCTCTAAGCATGGCAGACAAGAAGTTCATAAGCACGCTGTGTTTTCTTGGAAATTTAAGTGCCAACGCACGAATTGCCTGCACGACAACCACCTTAAACTCGTCGCTGATTTCAGAAACAAACGTGGCGATTTGCTTCATGAGCCTGTCTACTGACGATTCGGCACCAGTTTTTAATAACGTAGTAATGGCCAAGGTAGCAATCGACCGGTTGGAATCAGTGATCAAATTCTCTAAATCCAAATTGCAAGCTGTTACTGCAGACGGATGCGTTATGGCAACTTGATTTAATGTTCTTACAGCGGCGAATCTTAAAGTGGGTTTCGCGCTTCCGCAGAACAGTTGCAGAACGCTTATTGCAGGTGCCAGTTCTCTGCTAGTTGTTCTTTTCAAGTTTACGATAGCGTGGGCGGCCTCGTAAACAACCATTTCGGATTTGTGGCGAAGACAGTACTCCATAAATTCAATCATTGCAGTGTCGTTAAGCGATTCTTCCTCGTCAAGCAGTTTGGCGGTAATGCGAATCTAGAACAAACGCGATATTTGTATTTATTTTAGAAATGCTATTTCTATTATCAGGTTGCTAATGAAAAATTAATGGGCTTTTCTGCGGTCGCGATTTTTTCGTGGAGGTGTGAGGCAAACACAGAAATCTTGAAGCACGGGACATTTTACTGACGATATAGATGGTTGAAAAGTCAAAGGAAACATTTTCTTAATGAACTTTGGGCTTAAATTTACTATAGTGCCAGTTTTTCAGGCAAATTAATAATGCTTTAAGTGCGTTATCGTGGAAGCACGTAAAAACGTATTGCCGATATGAAAATAAACTGTATTTTAGTGATAAAACGATTATTTTTATGCAATAACGATAACCGTTACGATTCTACATCCAATAATCGTACGATTATGATTAATAAACGAAACGCAAATATACAGGGTGATTAATTATTATTGCGAAAAAATTTAGGATGAGATTCCTTTTATGAAAATACGAAAAAAAACGTCCTATTAATTATTTTTCGTTGTTACCTAACTACCTAATTTGAGACTGAAAATCTAGTTGACATCCTATAAACACTCTTAAAAATGTAATTGGTTAAATTAACATTTAACTGGACTATATACTTAAGAGTTGGTTTATAAAAGTTGATTATGAACTTACCAACATACAAACAGCATATGGAGATTTAAGTGACATTTTGGTCAATTTTGCAACTAGTTTAGTAACAGCAAGACGATCAGTTTTCCTGATATGATACAGCAATCCAAGAGCATGATACTGCACCATAATACTAAAACAAATTATATTTTATAATAGGTTCAAAATAAAGCAATATTATTTGCTAAAACTACTATGACAGCTTAACAATTCCCTATTTTCTTAGTTTAATTTAAACTTCTTATGTCAATATAATTTTTAATTGAAAAATATTATTAATTAAATCAATAAAACAATAAAGAAGCATTATTATTATTGTGATTGAAAACCCTAACAGGGTGTCACAAAAATGTATTAAACATATTCTTTTAAAAATTTTAAACTTTTTATTTTTTGTTTCGAAATACTAATAATAATAAATAAATAATTCTTTATTCGTCTCAAAAAACATATGAAGATAGTTTATAGATTATTTTAAATAACCATCACTATCACATGCTATTTCCGTACAATAAAAGATTGTTGTCATATGACATATGATATCATTATGTTTAGATGAATTTTTATTTTTTTTTAACAATATGGCGGCTGTTTATACAGTAAGGTTACAAAGAGGGAAAAAATGTTTTACATTTCTCAGAAAATTTCATTCATGATAAAAGTTTTAACTTGCAAGTCATGATTTTAAACCCCCGGAATATGCGACACATAATTGTCTATGTTGAAAATTTTGCACTAAAAATCATTTTTGGTTCATATTTGTTGATTTTTCATTTTCCTTAACAAATAAATGTTATAACGGTAGGTAGAAACCTCTAGAACATTTTTCAGTAATTAATTATAATAATTATTATTAAAAAGTATAATAAATGCATAAAACGACAATTAAAAATGTATTTTTGGCAATAAATTAAAAGTAAAAGCTTTGAACATGTCATAATAATCTTTTAATGGTAATGATAAATAAAAACTAACCAAAAAAGATTATTTTTATATTTAAAAGATTATTTATATTAAAAAAATTGGGTTAAAATTTACACATTACCGATACAGACGTGCTATCAAACGAATTCGATCGCTCTTAAGTGTACCTAATAATAATTATTATAAAAAGTCTTAAAGAAACATACAAATCGCTCATACAGTGCAGTTTAACTTAAACTTTAAATCTTTGCACTAATTTCGCACAATATTTTCCTTAAACTGTTTAAGGAAAATACTGTGCGAAATTAGTGCAAAGATTTACTACCTGGAACAGGGAAAATCAGTGTACCTGTTGTTAATAGAAACATTAAATTAGTGCATTAAAAAGCAACAAGTGAATATAGTGAATAAAGACTATACGCATACAAACACAGAAGTAATTAAGTGATAAGTGACAGCCTACCTGGAGATCTAACCCCAGGTCAATATGAATCACCTTATAAATGTAAAAAACAAACGAGGCTAACAAAGAGTGGAAGCGGCCATCATCTGTAAAAATCTGATTACTAATTAATCGCATGACCAAACACGCAAATTCGCCACATAAATCTTACAATAATCAATCAATATTACTGAAAACAGCGTAACAGTGTAAATAAATAAATTAGTAGGTAAGTTAATGCATATTTATGTTTTTAGACTTTAAGTCTAAAAACATAAATATGCATTAACTTAAGAGCCAGCCCCAACAAAATTAAAAAGTTTAAAACTTAACGAACGAAACTAAAATAAACAACCAGTTGCCTAATATAAACATAATAAACTAAACACCTCAAACAAAGTTAAGAGCAATTATAGAGAATAAATAATATAAATGCAACTGCTAATTGTTAGAAAAGAAAAGAAAACGTAAATACAATTTCTACCACAAAATGAAGACAACTATCTATCGATAGTTCTCGACCTCTACACTGAAGAAACGGCTTTTGCATAGTGTGGCAAACAATTGCTCACAACGGTTTCCGAATTCAGAAGACTGCAAGACCAGCAAGGATAGGTCCTAGCAGTGTACCAACCAACCTAACCTCAAATGAATGGGGGCATTACTATTAGTAATTTACTAAATCCCTGGTTGAGAGGGATTCCGGATTGTACTTAGTTTTGCGTACGGCCCGGCGACAAAATACCGGGAGTGGCCTTAACCATTGACACTGTCATCCACGACCTCCTAGGTGAGATTTACCAACCAGGGTGAAAATTCGGATCCACCAAACACAGGTAATGCTGTGCAGTGACGGGATACGTAAGAGAACTGAAAGGGGGTAAAATAACCCTGGGAGATCAGTGTAAGGCGTTGCCAATGGGGCCTGCCACCCTTATACTAAAAAAATTTGGGCTAAAATTTTCAAAGAAATCAAAAATGCAAATTAACCAGACAATAAAAATTATGCGTCACATATTCTGGGGGTTTTATCATGCAAAAAATTCATAAAGAATAAAATTCTCGAAGAAAATTTAATGTAAACAAAAAAATTTCCTCTTTGTAATCCAATCTGTTTTAGTACATTTTGTGAAAATTAAACAACTTTAAAATTGTTATTTTTAATTGAATAATTAAAAAAACTAATGTTTAATCAAAAAATGACAAAAGATGCAGTTTTTAATATTTTTCTGCCACAGTGGTTTATAGACTTACTTATCACTGTTTATTGCTTCCTGGGCTTCATTTACCCATCTCTTAATTACATCAGGAGCCAATTTAGTTAAATGCAAAGAACTAACAAGAGCAGCTGAGCTGACTGCAGAGTTGCGATCAACAATGGCTTGTTTCATGTATCTTTCAATGGCTTGCAACATTGTTGCATCAGTAATACTGCACAAGGCTCTTATTGCAGCAGGTCTGTATATATCCTCTTTACCAGTCATGTCTTTTGTTAAACTGGAAGTTACAATAATTACATCATCAGCAATGCAGCTTAATTCTTTAATTCCTAAGTAGACCATTCTCCTCAGAACAACATCCTTTGATTGAAATAATTTTGTCATTGCAAAGAATACATCGGTTGCTTCTTTAACAGTTAATAGTTCACCCTTAAATAAAATTATGTTAAAAAACTGTTAAAATATGTTTTGGTTATATTGTAATTACCTGGTACAAAAGGAATAATAATTTTGTTAAAATTGGGGTACATTTTCTTGGATTCACTGTGGTATCATTAAACTTTCTAGCCTCTTGAAGAATGGTCGTTTTTTCAAGGGAAACAAACATATTACCCCCTAAAAATGACTATTTTAAAACTTTGAAATACATATATTGGAACCATATTAACCATCTTCGTCTTCTTTTTTATCTCTCCTAAAAGAACTCATTTCTAAAGTAAATTAAATAAATTCTCTTGTATGTTTTTTACACGTCACTTTAGTCCGGTTGTCAAATTTGGTGGAAAGCAGAGATGAGTTAATACCAACTTAAAAGTTACTAAGGAAATCGTGGTTGCCAAGTTGTACTGAAAATAGCATATTTCGCAGAATTTTTTGTGCTTTATTAATAACCTTGAAAACCAAATAAACCAAAGTTATGCAAACAACCGGTATTCAATGAAGTTAGAAACGTGTTTTTGTTGACATAAAGTGTTGTTTTGTATTAACTTTTTTATATTTACGGTTTTAAATATATTATATACCCACCTATTTTGTATGTAAGAAAAGCTTTATTTAACCTTGGGTTAATATTAAATAAGATTGCTTGTAAAAATGCATGAACACAGGTATAAAGATAATTGAAAATCCCCACTTTATTTTATATTTTAGCGAACTTTATAGTTAAATGTTTAAATTCTATGGTATTTAAACCAATCTGTGGTCCAAGATGTTTTTAAAGTTTTATTCGAAACGGTTAAAAAATTATAACCTTGGGATGTTTATTATTAAATCCGGCAACGTTTATCGTAAATGTCAACACAAGCAACTGTCATTTCACACAGCGAGTAAAATGTCAATGGAGGTGAATAATGTTTCTCGAGTGCTAAAATTGGCCCAAAAATTCAATTGTTTTTACTTGTCAGGTAAGGTTTCTACAGAATAATATCATAGAATTGTATTCCTCGCGGTTTTTCATTTATAAACCACTGCGAATTTGCTATATTTTAACGTTTGCAGTAATATTGATCTCTGTATACACCCTCAATTTTTTTTTAAAAATTATTTTTTCTTATAGGACTGCAGTCGCAGGAATGTAAACCTTTTGTAGTTGAGGGTTTTCAAGTAGGGCTCATACGCCCAGATGTAATGAAACAGCTTATAAGATACCCAGAGGTAATTAATTAGCTGATTGTTGTATGGCAAAATTTAACAAAACAGGACAGTTTAGAAATTTTTTTTGTTAAAAAATTACGTTTCCGAAATCAATGGTTGAGTTTTGGACAGTATGAACATTATAAAGCTTTTAAACTTTATTTAGCACATCATAAACTTAATAATAAACAGTATGTGTACCAAACTGAAGGACTAGAAATTTGAGTTTGAAACAAATATATAAAGATATGATGCTTACACTTGTCTGAAATTGTCCCGGTATGTTAAATTGACCTGTTTACAGTTGGTGAGGTTATTATTTTCAGGTATTTCAAATATCTTCTGGTTGTGTAGAATTGAATCCCGCTTTTAGAGATTATGAAGAAAGAAGTACTAAAATTGATGAAGTATTAAGAGAACTAAGGGCTGAAAATGTTTTTATAGCCCTTAAGGGGTGGAGAGATGAGGTATGATATAAAGTTTTAAAAATGCCTATTTACATTTGAATAATCACACAATTTCAATGCTCAAGGTTAATAATGGTAAAGGTGTATCAACTTGTTTTATTTTATTAATGAATTCTTATGGAAATAAATAATTTAAAACTTTTAAATTTTTATAGATATCAGATGTAGGTATAGGTGTATTTTATGAGTGTCAAAAAATAAAACATTTAAATCAACATTTAAATTAACATATCTTGATTTTATTTTTATTATTTTACTGTATAAAACTATTTATTTTTATACACTGCGCGTCAAAATTAACGCATAATAAGTAAAAAAATTCTCACTCTAAAACGCGTTTACCGATCTTTATAAAATTTTGGATAAAAATACTTTAACTTATATCTCAGTTTACGTGTTCAAGGGTTTTTCAAAAAAATATCCTTAAAGCCCCTTTATTTAATAATAAAAAAAACGCTTGAAAAAAAATAAATAAAAAATATATTCTGTGAAATACCGTATTTTTGTAAGTATATATACCCTGAAAATGTATAAATCAAACGAACAGTAACGAAAATACAGCGCTTCAAAGTTGTCAAAAATGACCACTTTTCAGCAAAATAATCAAAAAGGGGTCATTTTTACAGACTTTGAAGCCCTGTATCTTCGTTACTGTTCGTTTGATTTGTAGAAAATTTTCAGGGTATACTAACAAAAATACGTTCTTTAACAGCATATTTTTTATTTACTTAAAAAAAAAATCCCTAAAAGTTATTTTTCGAACGTTTGTTTTATTAAGTAAAAGGCCTTTAAAAATATTTTCTCGAAAAACCCTTGAACACGTAAACTGAGATATAAGAATATATTCTTATACAAAATTTCATAAAGATTGATAAAGGCGTTTTAGAGTTACTTTTTTTTTACTTATTATGTGTTAATTTTGACGCGCAGTGTAGAAGGATAGGATATCTGATAAAAAAAACAATTCAAGAATAGAAAGGTAAAATTTCGTAATTAAAACTAATTTATAATGATTTAGAGTTTTCATTCTTAACTTATTTTAATTGTTTCTGTAACAACCATTTTGGGATGTGTAATATTGCATTATTTAAACCTAATTAGGTATGTAGGTACCTACTCAAAATCTCCTAATGCTGGTGCACAATCATGATAAAAATACCTACAATTCCAATCTTTATTTGGTTCTAAAAATTCCAATTAGTTAATGTTTTATTATAATAGCAATTATACAGCATGTTTTATTTTGATTGGTGAAAATTCGGCATTTATTTAAAAATAATCCGATTAAAATAAAAAGTTTTTAGTTTGTAGTACTACTTTATAGTACCTACTACTCAAAAAGCTCTATATTTTTTAGAAAATAAATTGTTATGTCATTTCCATGGCTTTCTATGATTAATAAAACTCTAAAAACTTTTTAGAGCAATCTGTATAAATTCTAGCAAACTTTGCAAAAACATTCTATCATTTCTTTAGGTATTACATAAACTACACATTTGCTTAGTTTTGTTACTCTAGCTTATACAGGGTGTTCACGCATTAAGGTCGAAAATTATTTAAAAAAATGGTGGGTATTTTAAATAAAAATATTAATTTAATTAGAGTCGCACACAAATGTGTACTTTTTAACAGTTTTCATTCATTAATATTTTGGCTTCAATTAGATTAATATTAGGTACTATTTAAAACACCATTATTTTTTAAATAATTTTTGCTTTATAAAGCCAGAGTAACAAAACTAAGTGAATGTGTAAGAAAAGAAATGACAGAATGTTTCTGCAAAGTCTTTGCTAGAATTTTAAGTCTGCTAGAATTTTAAGTGTTTCAAAAATTGATTTTTTTCAAATTTGTCCTTAGTATTGACCATCTTTTTTGGGTAAACGCTATCTGTTTTTTAAATTTAAAAATGCCTTATATCTTTTGACCTTTTTGGAGACCTATTAATCATAGAGGGCAATGGAAATGAAATATGACAATTTTTCTTAAAACTAAAAACTAAAAATATTTTTTTTTAAATAAATGCCGAATTGTCGCCAATTAGTGAAATACACTGTATATATTCCAGCAACAAAATTTGTAGGTATTAATTTTTTTAGATAAGTTAGCACTTACTTAAATACAATTTTTATTGCAATCATATTAAGCTTTATAAAATAATTAGTGTTGCAACGGTTACGGTTACGGTTACGGTTAATTCACGGTTTTCGATATTATACGGTTAACCGTAACCGTATGTCGTTAACCGTAACCGTATTTACGGTTTTTCATGCTACTTTGTGAATGCATGTAAAAAAAAGATTGAAGAGTAATTAACGTTACCAAATATACCACCTAAGTCAAATCCGTTTACATTCTGGAAAACGTGTTACACGTTTCGGCGTTTAAGAGTGTTGGCACTAAGGTATTATACAAACCATTGTCAGTGAATTCGGAGAGGTTGTTTTCGACTGCAGGTCTTGTGCAAACACCAAATAGGAACAGGCTGATTCCGCAGAATTTGCAGATGTTATGTTTTTTAAATAAAAATTTGACTCGTAAATTTTGAATATTAACATTTAATTTTTTTATATTTTTAAATATATTATTCAGGTACCTACTTAGGTTTGACTTTACTGTTTTTAGGTTTAAAATGTAACTCATTTCCTATTGTTTTACAGTTTTATTAGAAATTCTGTTTTTGTTTTACATAAATTATTATTTAACCTTTACTGAACGTGTGTATTAATTTCAAAACTTTATTTTTCGTAATTCTGTAATTTTTTTTTGAATAACCGTGAATTTATTCGTAACCGTATAGCTAACCGTAACCGTAACCGTAACCGTAAAACCCGAAACCGTTGCATCACTAAAAATAATACAAAAATTGTCCAAAATTTACTTTGATTTAAATTTTAGCATTAAATTTCAAATAAATAATTTCAAAATTTTAAGAACTATTTATAGGTAAAAACTCAAATCTGACTTATTCCATTATACCTAATTATTACTATTATTGAGGGTTTTAATTTCAAAATGTACAATATCCATTTATGTTATTATGTAAAAAATGAATAAGGATCCTAAATCAGGGTATTTATAAAAAAATCAAGTTTTAATGTCTTAATATAATATTATAATGTCTTTATATAATATTATAGTTATTTATAGCTTAAGCTTGTATTACAAAAAAGTTTGGAAACTAAACATTAAAGTGCGTTTTGAAAATAAATTATATTAACAAAACATAAAATGTCATATTTTTTTTAATGTTATATTTAGTACTTCATCAAAATGTTGCAAAAGGTTTTCTTCTTCTGTTTCTTTGATTCCTGTATTTTTTTTGCTTTCATATCTAATTTGTAAAATTTCAAGTCTTAGTTCTCCACTCTTTGCCATGATAAGTTGTTACCAACTCAGTTATGGTACTAAATTTTTTAATTTTAATTTTTTTTATTTAATTACAATAATGCTGGGACAAATATGTATTTTTTGTGTCTTTTGCAAAGTGATTGGTTACTTTCTTTCTTCATTTTTCTACGTACCTTCACCGCGCATCTGAATCCTTTGCCCAAAATATTTTGTGATTTAAGACTTCTCCAAGCTTTAAAACGGTCAAATTTTAAAATAATAAAATTTCTCAGGTTTCTTTAATACTCCCATTTTTTTTTAAATTCTTTCTCAATGTTTCCAAACCCAATCCGGTGGTATGAGTGATACACACTACAACAAACTAAGCGTACACGTGGCCAAATTGCACTTCCTATTGGCTGTTTAGAGTTTGTATCTACATTTTTATCCCAAGTTGTCGACGTTTTTAAACCAAACCCAATATTAATAATAGTGAAAATTATGGCACTAGTGCAAGAAGTTGTACTTGCCAATTTAGATAATAATAATAATAATTGTTTAGTAAAATTATTTATTTATTTGAGTGGATGGTTTGTGTACAAATTTTTAAAATGAGATTTCAAACCCAATTAAAATTTTTATTACTAATTGCTATTGTTATTACTCAATTGCTAAAAGTTTTTATGTGATATAGCATCATATATGATACCATTATCGAATGTTTCATATCCGGCAAATATATATAATTAAGGGGGCATTCTTCTGTTCATTAAAAACAGTTTGTTTTAGTGATCCTGGAATAAAAATTATATATGTAAAATGTCCTCTTAAGAATGCAAGTTTGTTATCATGTAAAGCACATATTGCTTTATAATGTAGTGAAAAGTATTTACACAATTTAGCAGTGGCAGCTCGTGACTTAAAAATCTGGGGTTGCACCCAAATGTAGGGTGTGTACTATTATAAAAAGTAAATTGGGTCCTAAAAACTTAAATTATGAAAATATAAAATTGAAATTAAAAATATGACCTGAATTGCTACTATGGTTTTAAGTTAATAAAAAGTTAAGCTTACCAATCCATTCGCCGATCTTTTGCAACAGCAAAGTTTTCGATCAACTTTTGGGTAAAATCAGGTATTTCGTCATGTCCTCTTGATGACAGTTCGAAAGCTCTGCAAAAACTTACACAATTAATTATAATGTTTAAAATGTAACGATTATGTCGTACTTGTTTATTGTGCAATTCCACATTTCTTCAATACGCAGTGTCTAATTGTTCTGCAATGTTTACACTTACTTACACAAAATGTTGCATTTACCCTGCAACTAATTCCAATAATATTAAACATAATTTAATTCCAACACGCCAATGCATGTAATAGTTTTACGCAAACCTGGGAGCTTCAACGATTATACGCTAGATGGCAGAAGGCGGCCGGTCAAAGAACCGATAGCGCCGAGTGTTTTTTTGGAGGATGTGCACTGCAAACCTTAGGTAGAGTCTCTACTGTAATTTACTATTGTAGACAACAAAAAATATGCGAAGTTTATTTTTAATGATAAATAAGATAGGTATATAATTCCATTCATAATTTGTTTAAACAAAACCTCATTTCCAATTAAACCTTAAGAATAAATTATTTACTACAATAACGAACAATGTTCTAATTCAGTTATTAAGCATAACATCTTTATAAATTAGCATGCTCTTTTTTTCTATAATTAAGTACCATAAGAGCTACAGTGGAAATAAATATGTTGAAACTCAATAGATAATTTTTTCAAAATCATACTAAATGATTAAAAAACCATTTTTAGCTTATTCTCATCAATAAAAATTTCCTATTTGTATTCAGAAATATTGACGTTCTACTTATTACTCAATATTTTTTATGACTATTATTGTAGTGCTATGAAGTAAAAACTCAGTTTAATTCTCAAAGTCTTCTAAAGATGGATCGATCGGCTACTTGTCTATTTGGAATTAGAAATTATGGTGTAGATATTAATGGTTATGTAAAACATCCAACTTTGGGTTTGTGTTTGTGGTTCCAGAAAAGATCAGCCACCAAGCAAACCTGGCCAGGTAAATATTAATTTAGATGGATAATGTACAGGGCTCCCACACCTCCTAAAATTCATAAAATTCCTAAAATTTGGCTTTAATCTTAAAAACTCCTAAAATTCTCCTAAAATTGCCATCAATCTCCTAAAACTCCTAAAAATTAAATATAAGTAGGCCAACTTGACTGCGTTTAATTAAGGTAGTTGTACTAAAAAATTTCTTTTTTAAAAAATATGTATATTTTTGGGTTCTAGTTTATTAAATTCTTTTTAAAATGATATAGGTATCACAACCTACATTTTTCTTAAAAAACAACAGAATATACCATAAAACAAAATCCATGTAGTAGCTTCTAGACTTCTACAAAATTGTCATTTTTAGCCATATTTCGTTAATTTTCGACAAAAATATACCGTGTTATATATCAAACAAAAGGATTTTTAATTTTCTTTTAAATGATAGCTAAAATAGTAAACAATCTAAAGAATGTTTTGCTGTATCATGCACTTTATATTTTTTCTATTATGATATTTTTTAGTAACAATAACATTACAATTATTGTTAGTTATTAACTAAACTGTTAATTTTTTTTTAAATATAAATATAACATCATTAAACTTTGGCCTACTTTTTTAGCCATATCTATCGACGCTTTTTTTTTACATAAAATTAAAAGTGTGGTGAAATTTCTACTTGTGGATATATACAAAAGTAGTAATTTTACCTCACTTTTCATTTTATTAAAAAAAAACTCGTCGAGCGATTTGGCTAAAAAACTAGTCAATATAACATATTTGTACAAAAGAAGTGATATTTATTTATATTTTTGTTAAAAAGAATTACTTATTTTTTTCTTATTTTTTAAGTATAGTGTAGTTGTATTTATTTAATTGAATAAATTCATTTGCATACTTTTTTCTCCTAAAATTCTCCAAAAAACCTAAATTCCTAAATAAAATTTGTAATTTAACCGTGGGAGCCCTGAATGTATAATATGCGCCATTATTATATAAATATGTTTAACTTTTATATAAGTTTGTTTTTTTTGTTTATAATTTATATATAATAATATATGGAGACTTGAACCAGTTTTTACAAATTAATAAAATCCTGTGGGTCATCAGGTTCCATTGTGATTCTAGATGACAGACCCACTATTTAACAATTAATATATACAGTTGTCAGTGGGCCTTTTGGGTGTGGAGCATAGTACACAACCCATGGGGTATATGATGTGGTTTGAAAAGGAAAATTAATGCAGCTAAAGCAAGACTGGATTTGTTTTGCTATTAACATTAAATATAAAGAGCGGCGCCATGGACATTGTCTATTGGACAAGCAAAGATGAGTTGGAGCAGTTATTAAATTAAGGCATCAAGCTATTTCCCAACATTTACGGAAGCATTTACAAGGGGTGTCGGTATCAAACAGTAACATTTCATTTCCTTAGATAATAGCACCAAACTTTTTGTCTTGATAATTCTTTAATCTATGTATAAAAAACCGGTTAGAAGAAGCCTAGAAGAATTAATTAATTCATTTCTTTAATTAAATGATGTCTTAAATGTTTAGAAGGTAATATTTACTTTTAGGAGTTTTTATTTTTTATTCCTAGATTATGGGGCAATTCTCTAAACAAAATATAAACTACACAATTTTACGTTAATTTTAGGCAAAAAAAGATGGTATCAATAAAAATAGGTCAATTTTATTAAAACTAATTTTCAATTGATCTTAAATTTGCTGGATTCTTATTTGAGTTTGGTTTCAAGTAAAATACTGCGTTAATTGCCTCTTATTTTTTATATTAGCTCATGAAAGCAAATTAAAATATTTGAAATGCTACAAAACGATTTGGTTAAATTTTTCAGGATAACTTTTTTTATTTTTAACTAGCTTGTTTATTAATAATGTAATTTCAATCCAATTTTCTTTAATATACAGGGTATAGTTTCGTATTTTTATAATTAGTTTTACGATTTATTTTAAGCCTTTTTAATAAGTATACAATAACTGCTTCCTTTATGTATAAAATTAAAAATGTATCCGGACAGGGCCGTCCTTAGCCCTTTTGTCGCCTTTGTGCTGGCATACAAATGACGCCCCCATATTTCAAAAAAGATATTTTTTTATAACCAACAATATTTTATTAAATACTAATAAATATTTAACAAGTAACATCCTTAAAATAAAATATAAACCTTACTAAAAAATAAAGTAATACAAACAAAATATTCAAAACACATATACAACAAAACCTGTGCATTAAGCTTAAACTTAATTTTCACAGATATCATTTTTAATTGCTATTATTCCTAAATTTGTAAGATGTTCCTGTGAGTCAAGCTTTGACATGGTAGATCTCAGATATTTTTAATTTGAAAAATGATCGCACTCCAGAAGTAACCGAAAAAATTAACTTCCAATATGTATATGGAAATATTACTAAAAATTTCTCTTACAGTGTTTACGTCATAAACCTACTATTTTCAAACTTATCTAAGATATCCATTTACATTGCTTACCTTTTATCAATAAATACAAGTTTTAATAATGTTTTAATTACCCAATGATTGTGTCTCAAAATCTTAGGAACTACAACAAAACAAACAACAACACTTTGGTTACAGTTTGGCAGGTGCCTAGGCAGAAAAAAAGTGGGGGTAGTTAAATATAAGACGTCACAAGGTTGTATGTTAAAAAACCGAAAAATTTGAGTTTATGCTTCTACAAGGTTTTATGTAATCCCCCCTTGACATACAACTTGAAAATAACTCTATATATATGTATACAAAGAATATACATTCTATAGAATTATTTTTAAGTGGTATGTGAAGCGTAGGTCACGTATAATCCTGTAGAAACATAGACTTAAATTTTTCGTTTTTTAACATACAACCTTGTTATATTAAGGTGACGAAGAGTAAAATGAAACTATATAAATCATAAACTTGTTGGGATTTCTAAACAAATCTCCAAACACAACTAGGGGGATTGAAACCCCTCAACCCCCCTGACTAATACCCTGCAGTTTAGTCCACTTCCACTGAGTCGACTAAAAAGGTAAAAAATTTGCTAGACAAAATTCAAACTGACAATAAACGTTATTTTTCTTATCATATTAAAGAGTTTTTACATTTCCAATACGGTTTTAATTAAGAAAATGGCTCAGTCCTAAATTGTGGAGAAAATTGTCCAATGAGACGATGAAAATTTGTTTTTTTTCGCGGTAGTATTTACCATTTCTATGACGCTTATAAGGAGGACACTGACATTTGGTTATGCCTTTGTGACTGCACAACGTGCACACCCCTAAGAACGGCCCTATAGTCGGAATATGAATGTATATAGAAATACCATGGATTTCTTAGCGATTTGCCCATGGAATATCGATACATGCATTAAACACATTGTAAGTGATTTGTTTGTGCAGCAAAAATGTATTAACCTTTATTTCTTAAAATTGTAGTCGACACATTTTTACTTAGCACAAACGTGTCACTTACAATTTTGTTCAATATATACATCCCATATCCAAAAATGCTTCGTTTAGACGCTAGAAGGCTTTGAAATTAGTAGAAAAAATATATGTAATTACTTGAAACCGTGTTAATTGATTTTGGAGTTTACTCAATTGACGCGTTTTGATGCCGTACCAAGTTTTTTTTTTTAAATCCCTCTAGCGGCATAATAGCTAACTTTGGTTTTAGGTAATGTAGGTTAAATGGAATTATTTTAAAAACCTCTATAAATATATTTGAATAATTATATAATAACACAGGCCGGAAAAATAAAATGTTGTGTTTGCTCCAGGGTAACCAAAAAGTTGGAAAATTATATTTTCTAATATTTGAACCATTCCAATATTTTAAATAAATAAACTTAGAACTAAAACAAGAGCTGATTGAAAGAATGATTCACTTGCGGAAATTTTCTCTGCCGTTTTCTGCCATTTCTCTGACGTTCGCTGTCATTCTCTGCCAAAAAGTAGTGCTACTCTGCAGCATAATAGTTGTTGACCAGTGCAATATTTTATTCAACTTAATTTATTACGTTAACGCCTTTCCCGCATTGAAAATGCAAGATTCTTACTCAACATAATGTCATATGGGCATTCTTTAACAAGAGTTTATATGAAAATTATCTGCAAATATCCAAAACATACAACAGTGGGAATTTTAAATAAAATTTACAAATTACTATACAATCTGTAGGATAAAGAAAAAATACGAAAACCGTGGAAAACTAAAAGAAAATGTTAAACAGTCAAGAAGCCGTATGGTATAATTAATAATAAACATTTATTTTGTCAGTATTGTATTGACTACATACATTACACATAATTAAAACTTGCAGTAGACCATTTCAATTTTTCAACATTATATATGCAATTTTCTAGTAATATTTTGAGATTTTTGTACTAAGGTTTAAATTTTTTATATTATTATAAATTTTACTTTGATAAATGGGAATAAAATAATGAGATAAAGTACATATACAAGGTGGCGCAAAAGCCATCACCTAACTTCCTAGGGCTCTAACTTTTTTGTAAATGAAAAAAATGGGTTGGGTTTGTATTGTGAATAATGTTTATTTGGATATTTTAATTCTTTCAATGTAAGTCGAAAAAATAATAAAGGCCAAGTAACCGCCGTCAGAGTTGATGCACACTTGGGCGCGCTTTAGAGTAAATTCCATTACTTTTCTTAATACTTTTCTTCTTTAATGTTGCCTTTTAGTCCTTCGAAGGTCTGGAGCTTGTTCACTTAAAGGCGAAACTTTTAATATTTACAAAGAAAGAAGTCTGGAGCAGTCAAATCAGGCGAGCAACAATAGCTCGCGATATTTTCCGGTCGCTAAATTTTTCGTTTTGGTGGTTTGCAGACTGCTTCAGACTTCTTTCTTTAAGGTTATTTGAAGTCACGCGTTTATATGAACAAGCCACAGACCTAGGCAGCCCTAAAAAAGAATATTGAAATAGAAATGACGTCCATCGCCTGAAGTATTATAAGGTCCAACTAGACATTGACCAACAGAACCGTTTTTTTATTTACAAAAAAAGCCTTATAGTACAGTCATCTTAGTCAAAAAAAGGAATCAACCTCGGAATCTAACGGAATAAGCTGAATTTTTGTGAAAACCTTTATTTTAACATTACAAATGTTGTCTCAAAAGTCACATATGCCAACGTGTGAGCGACCTTAGATATTCAAGGTCAAAGGTCGCAAAAATCAGTTTTTTGATAATATCTCGTTTTGTCTGCCTCCTATCGTATTTGCATTTATTATAAAAGTTGTAGAGAATAAAATTCTCTACAAATTTTGTTCAAAAAAAATTTTTATACGTCGAACCGTTTTTGAGATAGAGGGCGCAGAGTGTGGAGCGCTCAGCCATACGTACTTTAGCGCAAGGTAAATCGGGAATCCCAATCTATTATACCGTTTTTTTAATTAATTATATAATAAATATTACTAAAATAAAAATTTAATACCCTATACTTATATTTATATTTCTTTTAAATCAAATATATTTTATCTTCATATATATCTTATATTTTAATTTAATTTTAATGTAGGGATAATTGGATCGGAGTAGGAAAAAATGTTTTTATTTATATCAATAATATTATTATTATTTATCTTTATCTTCTTCATCCTCGTCTTCTTCAGGTTGGCCAGCAATTTCAGACTCATTATCATCATCACTCTCCTTGTTATCATTGACATTAATTGTCATATCTTCAAAAACTTACTTATAACGCGTTTGTACTTTGCTGATTTTTTTGCCTTTGTTGCCTCATCTGCGACTTCACCACAAAATAAGCACAATATTTAAAAATCAAACACATCATTCCCTTTTTTACGAGGTACAGTTGATGACGTTGAAGGTCCAGTCTCTTCAAGGCGACGTTTTGCTGCTGCAATTTTACTATAGTACGCTATAGCGTACAATTTTCGACACTCAATATGAACGTTCACAGAAGTCAAAGTATTTAGGTAGTTTATGTTTATTTCTCTCAATAATTGCTTCTTTTAAAGTCTTTATACCGCGCACAAAAGTCACAGAATCACCTTCAGAAAGTAACTTATTACAAATAAAACACAAATCAGCCATGTTAACCTTTAAAGTATTACGAATATTACCTGTCACAACCCTAGACCTAGGTATACCTAGGGTCACACCTTGCTTTAAATATAGGTATACCTAACCTTTTTATTTATAGCAAGCCCACTATAGTATTTCCAGGTCTGTTATTTTAAAAGCAATATCTAGATCCAAGAGATGACCAGAGACATATTCAAGGCAAATTTATTTAATGTATTTTTTTCTTAAAATGCATTTATCATTAATTAGAATAATATTAGAATATATTTAGAATGATTCACTTCATTATTTAATTATTTGTATGTCAAAAGTAAGTAATATTTAATGACTATTTGTTTAAAAAAAATATATAAAAATAAATATAAGGTAATAAATTGTTATGTAAGTAATATTTAATAAATAATTAATTAAAAAAACGGTATAATAGATTGGGATTAATGATTTACCCTGTGCTAAAGGTACGTATGGCTGAGCGCTCCACACTCTGCGCCCTCTATCTCAAAAACTATTAGACGTATAAAAAAAATTTGTAAACAAAATTTGTAGAGAATTTTATTCTCTACAACTTGTATAATAAATGCAAATATGATAGGAGGCACAGAAAAGGAGATATTCTCAAAAAATTGATTTTTGCGACCTTTGACCTTGAATATCTAAGGCCGCTCACACGTTGGCATATGTGACTTTTGAGACAACATTTGCAATGCTAAAATAAAGGTTTGTACAAAAATTCAGCTTATTCCGTTAGATTCCGAGGTGAAATGCCTAGATGACTGGACTATTAGGAAATTAGGTGATCACTTTTTGAATTGTGTAAATTATTTGATTTTCCCTTATTATAGTTATGAATGCTACTCTTTCTGACATTCTAAAAAAGCATGGTGTTTATATTTATAAGAAGTTCTAAAATAAGAATATAAAATATATTTAGTATAGTGAGCGTTATATTGATCTTTATTTTTGTTAAAAAATATGTAATTGTAAGAAACTAGCATTTTGTTTTTTCTTTTATCTTTATTTCATGTTTATTGCATTATAATCCACATTTGAAAAATAACAAGATATCCTAACTAATTTTACTGATTCGTTTTTGTACTGAGAATAAGAAAAAATTAAGAATGGTTTATATCTACTTTAGGAAAATGGGACAATATGATTGGTGGTGGATTGTCAGTAGGTCATGGAATTTTAGAAACTGCTTATAAGGAGGCAATGGAAGAAGCCTCTGTTCCACCAAATTTGTTAACAAATCTTATTAGCGCTGGCTGTGTATCGTAAGTTTGTTCATATAATCCCAACCAAAAAAGATTTTATATTATTCTGCGTGACGTTTTAGATTTTATTTTGAGTCTGAACGAGGGTTGTTTCCAAATACAGAATTTGTTTACGATCTAGAGCTTCCTGTTGAATTCAAGCCCGAAAATGCAGATGGCGAAGTAGAGACTTTTGAACTTCTACCAGCAAAGGAATGTTTGGAAAAAATGTTTAGTCCTGATTTTAAAACAACGGCCGCACCTGTTGCACTGGATTTTCTTATTAGACATGGAGTTGTTTCACCAGAAAATGGTAAGTGTTTATTCTGTTTGCTATTTCAATATATAATATGTTTGGTTTTAGAAACGGAATTTTTAAAAATTATAGAATTGTTGCATGTTCCATTGCAATCAATATATGGACGATACAATGAATCAAAAAGTTTAAGAGAAAATGGCACTGGTATTTTAAAATAATTTTTTAACGAATTGAAAATTTAGTGTAGAATTTTAGTTGTTTTTTATAGTAGGATGAAAAAGAGAGCCTTAAATTTTTACTTCATTTTAGAAGGATATATATATATTTTAAAATATTTACATACTTTTTGAGAGCTTAATCTTTTTTTGTAACTACTGTATATTTTATTTATTTATTAGAATTTTATACTATTGAGTAGATAGATAGTCATACAGTATTTAAAATAATAAAAACAAATTGATTTTATAAGTTAATTTAATTGTGATGTTTTTATTGTGCAAAACAGTATGTACTACTTGTGATAAATAAATTTTTGACAACTAAGTTGTTTAGAACAATATGTTCTGTTTGTTGAATTTCTATTCAACAGACTGTACTTAATGCATATTATACACAATAATAAAGTTCATTCCAAAGTAAGTTGTATTTATTTAACATTGGGAAAAGGCAAAAATAAAACTTGCAGATTATATAAACTTGACATATATTTTAAAACATTTACAACCCTTTACCAACAAAACATATAATAAAAAATTTTGTTTGTATTTGTATAAAATAATACCTTTTTTAAGTAAAACAATAAATTATTTCAATCACAATTTAAGAATCCCTGAATCACAAATCAACAAAATGTATGAATAGGGACTTACTAAGATACCTTAACGATTTTCAAGAAACAACTGATAATTTGCAAACTGGGATATCATTGTTGCAATTATTGTCTAAAGCTAATTTCGATTGACAATCATCATGTAGTGATAACTTTTTCTTTGAATATCTAAAAAGAATTAACTTCATTATTTAATAAATATTAAGTTATGCAGTTAATGTTATATTTAAAATTAGAATGACACCTACCTGGCACTAAGTTTTTTGTATATGTACATAAATAAAAGGGGGAAAGGTGTCATTACTGCCACAGCTACTGGAGCAACTAAAAATAGAAAAATTAATATTAAGTTTTTCAATAAGAAATATGTATAGTAGACTGGGCCAAAAAAATCGACTTTTTTTGTAGTATATCGAAAATATTGTTTGGGGTGACAAAAAAAAATTATGGTGAAAGTTTGAGTCCATAATATTAAAATTTAATATTAATATTAAGAGGTATATCATGGCAATTTTAGATTTTTTTTTCCTGAGCGAGTTTTTGTCTCAGAACTCACAAACCATTGAGTTTAACAAAATTGACTCAGGAATATTTTTTGAAGAAAATTTAATGCTCTACAAAAATGGTTTGAATTTCCCGTCAGATGAACCGTTTTCTTACAATCATGCCTTAAAAATTGGTATAGTTTTACAATTTGATCTTTTAACTTTGGAATTTTGTAATTCATGTAAAAATCAGTACCCGAAAAAAAACCGATAGATATTCTTATGGGAAATCAAATGCTCTACAAATAAGACTTCTAACTTTTTTGGCTAAATTCACTCCATCAAAAGTTATTCAAGGTTAAATTTGAAGTCGAAACGAAATTCTTGTTTTTTCCACTCTAGATTTTTTTTTGGGTCAGTTAACAACTTTATTTATCGATGAAAATCTTTATGTTATTGATAAAATTACTGAAAATTAAAAAAAAAATAACACATTAGAATTTTTTCGCTTTAACCCACACAGCACACTACGTCCATTGTACGTCCATTAAAGGTCCAAACTAAGTACATACGTCCATGGACTTTGAATGTACGTCCATGGAGACACAAGACACGTCTTGCAAGAAACAATAAGATGGATGTTCAAAGTCTAATTTAGGACTCCTGCGGTCGATAACGGCTACCATATTAAATAGTTACATTTTACAAAAATAGCAAACAAAAGAATTACAATTTATTTTCACTTCAAAAATAACAAATGTTTTATTTGTTGTTAATTCTTAAAATTGTTTTGTTTGCAAACCATGACAGTTTGGTTAAATTAATTTACTATATAGTAACTATAATTTTATTTATATAAACACCTCAAAAATACCAAGTTACGAATTAAACTTTATTAATAGGTTTGGTTTATATAAAAAAACTCCGGTCAGCAATAAAAAATACCTAATAAAAAAAAGTCAGTCATGATTCAAATCGCATCATGGTAGTCAGTGACATATTATTATTAAAGGCAATGTAATTATTTGTTTAGTGTTAAATATAAAATAAAACTTAATTAATTCACTATAATACCAATATATCAGTTATGGGGCCTATATCAAACTTATATGAATTTATAATGACATTGAATAGAAAATTTGTGCGCAAGCAGAATTTAAATTGAAATTTGCGAAAAAAAGTTAGTTTTCAGCCTGCCTTACCAGCCTCCTACCCCCAAAATTAAGATTATTCAAAATAAAGTGGTGCAATTCATAATTCACTAAAGTTTATCGACAAAATTAAAAATTTATTTTAAAAATCCAAGACTTACAGAATTATGAATTGCACCACTTGAATAATCTTAATTGGGTGTAGGGGGCTGGTGAGGCGCGCTGAAAAACTAACTTTTTTCGCAAACTTTAATTTAAATTATGCTTGCGCAGAAATTGTCTATTCAATGTCATTATAAACTCATATATGTTTTATATGGGCCTCATGTCTAACAACTGAGATATTGGTATACCCAAAATCCACCAGCCGCCACTGTCTAAACCTTTTTTATCCTAAATCCTATGTTTGTAATTTGATTAGAATAAACAAATGTATACATAACTTTTTTCGTTCCTAGGCTCATTTTGACATCATATGGAAGTCCACTTCCAACGTACATTTTATGTACATTTATTACATAACATGGACATCCTATAGTGTGCCAAAGTTACGTTATATGTACGTACATGGAACGTCCATATAATATTCTTGGACATACTATGGATATCCATTTGTACAGAGATGGATGTCCTATGGAAACCGTATGGACGACTTTGTGCTCTATGGGAAGAAGCTATTTTCTTTAGAAAATATTATTTTCACTGTTACCTATTTAATCGTTTAAATAATAAAAATCATATTGTTTTTTATTGGAAATTGTTAATTAGTTATAATTATAATAATATAATAATTATAATTAGTTATTTATATTTATAAAGAAAAATATCAAATTATCATCCATAAAAAATAAATCTACGGAGGAACAAAGAAGAATTTCGTTTTGGCTTCAACTTTAACCTTGAATAACTTTTGATTGAGTGAATTTAGCCAAAAATTGAATGGGGTTATTACTTAAGTCCCAGGTTGAGGAGGATTCCGGATTGTAGTTAGTTTTGGGTCAGTTCAATGTCCTCCAAAAACCCTTCCCAAACTGGACGTAACCATAAACACTGTCTTCCACGACCTCCTAGGGTGGATCTACCAGCCGGCGTAAAAACTTCGGATCCAACAAACACAGGTAAAGCTGTGATTTGGCGGGATACGCAGGAGAACGGAAAGGGGGTAAAATAACCCTGGGAGATTAGTGGCGGTTAATGTCTTTAGAGCCTGCCATACGTTCCCATACTCATACTCATTATCATCCAAAAAAAAAAAATCTACGGAGGAAAAAAGAATTTCGTTTTGACTTCAACTTAAACCTTAAATAACTTTTGATTGAGTGAATTTAGCCAAAAATGTTAAGAGGCTTTTTTTGTAAAGCATTTGATTTCCCATAAGAATATTTATCGGTTTTTTATGGGTACTGATTTTTACATGAATTACAAAATTCCAAAGTTAACAGATCAAACTGTAAAACTAAACAAATTTTTAAGACATGATTTTAAGGAAACGGTTCATCTGACGGAAAATTTTATTTTAAACTTTTTTGTAGAGCATTTAATTTTCTTAAAAAAATATTTCTGAGTCAATTTTGTTAAACTCAATGGTTTGGGAGTTCTGAGACAAAACTTGCTGAGGAAAAAAAAATAAAATTGCGATGATAGACCTCTTAATATTAATATTATGGACTTTCACAATAATTTTTTTTTGTCACCCCCAAAACCATATTTTCGATATACTTTTCAAAAGAAAAATATTTGATTTTTTTGGCCCAGTCTAATGTATAGTATACATTGTTATAATTATTATTGAACGTTTTATGCATGATACCACAATCCACACTTGGCATGATACTACATAAGACTGGTAATGTAACGCGCCGTATTAAGCGGCTAAAAAGTCTAAACTTGGGTCACTGTTTGACTGAGGGCCGGTTTATCAATCTCTAGTTTAGTTCCAGTCTATCTGACAGTTAAATTTCATATCGATCGTTGTGAGAACAATGGTATCCATGGAAATTATCTAACAGATAACTAACTGCAACTTTAACTGGACATTGATAAACCGGCCCTGAGAGGTCGAGAGAGAGACAACGCGAGAAAGGGCTATGCGAATCGTTCGGTTCTCTGCGAAATTAAGGAGACGCCGCGGCGTTAATTTTGAATAATTTATTCAGTGTCCGAGACTATTTTATTATTACAATGACAAAGACTTGTATTGTGTCTACGTGTAATGGTGGGTAAAAAAGTTGTTTAAAGAAAGTGTCTCTATTTAAAGTGCCAGAGAACAGATTAATTTTTTGGCAAAAGAAAATACTGCGTAAGGACAGACTTCTTTTAAAGAAAGATTTTATTTGTAAAAAACATTTTAATAAATAACTTATTATTAATGGGTAAAATTATTTTATTGGCATTGTAAATAAAAATTATGATACTACATAATAATTATGTATTATCATGATAAAAATTAACATAAACACAATATTAAGAAAAATATTAGATATTATTTATATTATATTTAATGTATAATTAGGTGGATATTTTAATTTACATATAATATATATAATATTTATTAATAAATTAAAAGTTTTTTACAATTTCTCTGTAAAATTCAAATGATATTAGTCATAAGATAGATAATATTTATATTATATTTACTATATTACTAGGTAAATATTTTAATTTATACATAATAGTTTAATATATAAATTATTTATTTTTAAATTAAACTTTTTTATATTTTGGAAAATTAAAATGATAAAATTATAAATTAAAAAACTTCAGTACCCCTTTAAAATCCCTAGATTACCTGACGATGAAATGCCCACTATATTCCCAGGATGTCTCACCTAGCTCTATAAAGCGATCAAAAAGCGAAGGATAATTATTAAACAGCCTTCAGTTGTGAAAAAGCGTCAAAAAATAGATACAAATCTAAGCGAGAATCATCAATGTAAGTAATCAGGGTATCCAATATTTCTTAAGTCTGCTTATTCAGTTGGGTATCATCTAAATTATTTTTTTACAATCTAAAAACAATTTTGGTAAAAAACATTTTTTGATGTCCTAAATTTTAAGAAAACATTTATAACTTGCTAATAAATGGAAAAATGCAAAAAAACGTGGACAATTTGTGGGAAGACTAAACAAATAAACAAATAAGTTAGGTGATACTACCAAAGTGAAAAAAGCAAACTTGGAAAATACAGTCATATATTCCTTCGTATATTTTCTAGATCCTTATATGAATTTTATGGATGTTTATATTTTTGAAAGTCATCAACGTCTTTTTAACGATCTTTTAAATAAATGTATATGTCTTGAATTGCCTTACATTTTTTTCCAAATTATTTTGTGTAAAAATAATAATCATTGAGATAAAAATGTTGTCCTAAAATTGTTTATGTTTGCAAATAATTTTTTCTACCTCAAAGATTATTATTTTTGCCATTACCAAATTAATTTTGAAAAAGACGTACTCGTATATTTGACTCACTCTATTTATCAGTTTAAATTTAATTTGCTTTTTATAATTTTTATTACCTCATGCTAATAAATAAAATTTAGAAATGTTTATCGTTTCACTGTAGTATTGATAGGTAATTGTGCATAAAGTAGATATTATCTACTAGATAACTAGTATTTAATCATTGTTTTACTAAATTTTTCTCTTTTATAAGTTTTACTGATATTAACTATGCATAAAGTAATTTATTAAATCTATTTATCGGTTTTTAGGATGATATTATCGAAAAATATTAATGCAGTGCATGTTGTTTTAAGAAAAATTATTAATAAACGTTCAAATCAAACTTTTTAAAAAATTGGTTTAACTGGAACTGTTTTAAAATGGTTTCAAAGTTACTTAACAAATAGATTTCAAAAAACAAAATTTAATGGAATTACATCTAACAAAATACAAACTACATGGGGTGTGCCACAAGGAACCGTTTTGGGGCCAATATTATTTAATTTATATATAAATGATATTATAAATTGCGTAAAAAAATCAGATATTTCCCTCTTTGCAGATGATACAATGATTTATATTTCTGGAACAAATATAAGGGAGCTATGTGATAGTTTAAATGAAGATCTAAAAAATCTTAATTCTTGGCTACGTGACAACAGATTAAGTATCAATGTAAAAAAATCAAAGGCCATTGTATTAGGGAGCAAGAGTCAAACTGTAAATATTAATGAGGAACTGTTATATATAAATATAGATAATAAAAAAATAGATTTTGTAAAAGTGATAAAATATTTGGGAATTAAATTGGATCAAAATCTTACATTTCATGAAAACGCAATATATACAATGAACAAAATGTCAAAAAAAGCTTTTTTTCTCAAAAGAATTAGTAAAAATTTAAGTTTGCGAACAAAATTATTATTGTATAAAAGTTTGATAGCACCTCATATTGACTATTGCTCCACAATTTTCTTTGGTTTGCCATCCTACCGCATTCAAGAAATTCAGTGCATTCAAAACCGTTGTATGCGGACGATATTATTTTGTAATAGGTATACACCAATTAAAACAATGCTAAATGTTTTAAATTTAATGTCCGTCCAAAGTAGAATCTTATTTAATGTGTTAATATTTATTTATAAAATTAAAAACAAAATGTTACCGAAATATTTACATGACAATTTAGAACTAATTTCGGATCAGCATGTATACAACACAAGAAGCAGAAATGACTTTAATGTGAAACTTTGCCGAACTTCACAACTAAGAAATTTTGTTTTTAGAAATGGTTTAATCCAATTTAATAATTTGCCAATTGAAATAAAGTATTGTGATAATTTTAATACGTTTAGAAAATTGTTAACCAAATGTATTATCTCAAAACAACTGTGATCCCCATAAACATAAACATATTGTACCTGTTATACGAGTATAGTTTGTACATTTTATCTGTTGTTATATTTTTGTTATTGTGTACTATTTATTTATCATCATATTCTGTGTTATATTTTATATTACTTTACATTACTTTATATTTTTTTGTATAAGTATCTTTGTTTTTTTTCCTTTTATGTAATGTTTTTTTATAGCAAAATTGCTAAATAAAGATTTATTATTATTATTATTATAAAGTTATATGGATTTCAGTCCGCCACCAGCCCTCTTTATCGCTATCTCTCTCACCGGCCGCAGTGCCTTAAAAGCGGTCCGCTCCAAGCGGTGCGACGGATTACCAGTCTTATGTAGTATCATGGTTTTATGTATTGTTTAACAAATAAAATTGTGCCTTGAATATAAAAAATTGTATGCCATTCAGGCAAGAAATGTCTTTGTATGCTTTGCTTAATTATAGGACTTCACTATGTATCACCCTTTAAACTTTGAGCTCAGCATAAAAAGACTCGCTTCTGGGCCTAATGATATAAATAACTATTTTTCTTAATATTGTTGAAACCGCGTTATACACTTTTTAAATTTTCTTAGGTGATTGGGCATAAAAATACATTTTTCTACAAAAAATATTTGTTCTACCAGTGGTGTACATAAGGGAGTATCTAAAAAAACTTGAAAAGTTTTTAAGAGTTTTTGGTTACAGTCCCAAAGCAACTTTTTTCCTAACTTGGCCCATTACCCTTACAGTGTATATCATATATAGTATAAGACTACTTACTTGTTGTGAGATCACCCTCCGGTTGAGGCAAGGAAAATCTGAGCAAAAATATCGCGATTCCTGTATTTTGAATCCCGGTTTCTATTGCAATTGCCAAACAATCTGGTGCTGGCTGTTTGAGCAGTTTTGCTAATATAAATGCAAAAGTATAGCCAAGGTAAGGAAGTCCCATACCAGCTACAATTATCTAAAACAAAATTATAAATAAGTTTCATACTTAAAGCCTGCATGCATTATACAGGATTTCTTAAGTGTGTGTAAAAAAATAACACCCTGTGTAACACTGCAGAATTGTCATTTTGTGTCATTTGAAAAGCTAAAACTTTATATAATATTTTTTTATTTTTTAGCGTTCTCGCTTTTTAATTCTAATCAAAATAATAATGTTTTTTTACCTGCCAAGAAAATAGTTTAAACAAATACAGATTCGCCACAATAGCGAAAATGATTATAAATAAAATTAAAATTGATGAAAAGCATTTCAATATCCTTGCCATGAAAGTCGACACTTTTTTAAGGTATCTTTGTATCAAATATCCAATCGCCAGCGGCACTACCAAGGCAAAGGCGTATTCTGATATCTGCCAGTATGGCACCGAAAGGTTTCCCTTGTCGAATATCATTTTTCCTAGCGTGAAAATCCATAGGGGCATCATTCCGAAAGCCGCAAAAGTACTAATCGTTGTCATGGTAATTGATAAATCCATGTTACCTTCCAGGATGACAGTCCACACGTTCGAAGCGCCACCTGCCGGCGAGACGCCCGTAAAAAACATTCCCAATTGCATTTCAGGACTCTCTGGAAATAGTACTTTTCCCAAACCAAAACTAAGCTAAAAATACAATAATATAAATTAATACTGTATAACTTTTTCCTATCCATTAAATTAAATTTGACCAAATTTCAGTTTATAAGGCATGATAGGACAAAATTCTATAAATCAATATCTATAGATCAATAAACTTTTGAGATACAAGGCGTTATTCAAATGATCACAAAATTGAAAAAAGTTAAATTTGGAACAAACTAAAGATCTGCGTAAAAACTTAAGTTTCAGCTATTTCAAAGATAATAAAATAAAAGTGCTATAATTATACAGGGTTTTTCGTAGCCTTTATCACAAATTACAATAGTTTTTTGGGTACCTTTAAAATTGAAGAAAATAAATTGTATACTACGTAATTGTTTTATAATTCCCTCTGTAATAACATATCAACCTAACTTACTAGTGGCATTATAAGAAACTGTCCTATAAATCCTATCACAGGTCCTATGGGTCTTTTAAGATTCTTTCTCAGCTCCCCCCAATTTAAAGCACAGCCAAAATTGATGTAGATTATACTGACTAAAGTGGCAACTGAAGCCGTAAAAATAGTGTCTATTAACCGTTTTTTTCTAACCACAATAACTTCAAACTGTTCACATAATTCATCACTGTTTGGAAGCTTACATTTTATCAAGGTTTTACCTAAAAATGAGAGACTTGTTGAAAGTTTTATTGCTAAATATTAAATTAGGATCTTACCCAAAAAGTTTCCGGTTAAATTAAACGTGCCTACTTTTTCTGAATTGTTTAGTGGAATATATAAATATTTGACTTCAGCTATATTATTGTCTGTCGAGAATATTTGAAGTTCTTGGAGATTATTAGGATCACCATCTAGAAAAATACATAAAGGTAATTTTGAATATAAAAAATAAATTAATTTTGGATGAAGTTTTTTTATATAAGTTAAAACGGATTTTTATTTACATTGCTTTAAAACTATTTATTTATATAAGGATTAAGAATAATTTTCTAATTAAAAATAAAAGGTTTTTTTATAATATTCAGGACTAACTGTATAAGAGAAGGATGATGCTTGAAAACCGTCAAATGTGCTCTGGCCAGGGTTCGAAAAAATCATGATTTAAAAAAAAATCAAAAATCTAAGATTTTTATTTAAAAAAAAACAAAAAAATCAACAAAAAATAATTTTTTTGATTTTTTAAAATTTTTTAAATTATAAGCTTTTTTTAATAAAGTTTACTATAAAAAAAAATACTAAAAATAACTGGACTAAAATAATATTATATTGGCACTACTTTATAAACAAATAAACCACCATCCGCAACTACCAGATAATTTTTTATATATTCCTTTATTATTTTATTTAACAAAAAAAGCAGTTTTTTTTAGATTTTAGATTTTTTTTTTAAAACTGATTTAAATCATTGATTAAAATAAAAAAAATCACTTGATTTAAATCAAGTGATTTAAATCAGGAGAACCCTGGCTCTAGCGCTTTTAAAAATGCTGGAGCTTGGCGTCAAAACTAAAAAGCGCTCGAGCATTTATGAGCGTCCGAGCATTTGCCATCTTTTTTTAATAAACTAAAATGTATTTAAATGAAAACATTTTTTTACATAAAATTGCAAGAGAAAAGATGTCTGGACAATTTAATAGTATATTATGTATTAATTTTTATAAACGCCATTTAAGTTACGAGTTTTATTAGGCACGAGCGAGTGTTTAATAAAAACTAGAGGAGTTTATATGTTAACTTCAGCCCGTGACTAAAACGTAGTAGATAAATAAATTGAAATATACATACCTAATATATTGTATTTTATATTTGCTGTATCATACATGTGCAAAGTTATGTTTTTTTGTTCAAATTGAATTTTATATGGTTTTACAACCACTGCATGGCACATTAATAATAATGTAACTACAACTATTAAAAATTGGACCAATCCTGATATGGGACACATCTGAAACAAATCAAAAAACAATAAATTATTATAAATGTTATTGTTGGACTGTTTTAAATTATTTATAATATTCATATAAAATAAAAAAAAGCTCTATTAAATAAGGGGACACTCATGGTTTCAACATTTATGTAGGTGAGGTGTCTGCATATAAAAAGTTAAATAAACAGAATGGGAAAACATGTTTTTAACATTAATAGGTATCCTCTTTGTCTAGGAGAGAGTGAGAAAAAATTGAAAATATTTCCACAGATATTTTGAAAACTTGTTGTCTAGCAATTAGGCTTTTGCCTAATGACAACAAGTTGAAAGAATATTCTGGAAAATTATTTTCTAATTTAAGTATTGAACTCTCGACTCGAGAGTCTCGAGTGGTATTCGAAAGATTATTTTTTGAAGCTTATTATAGAATTTTGTTGTCATATTATTTTCACCTATAATATAACAAGTGGTGTGATTATATCATCGATGATATTTCCCAATTGAAACCGATCTGAAAATTATAAGAGTCTGCAGTACGAGTAAAAAGTGCTGTTTCGGTTTCAATGAGTAAATATTATCGATATTTATCATCATAAATATCATCGAATACCACGAGTTATATTTAGCGAAAGAATATAATAAATTTTAGGATAAAACAAATTGTCAGTTTCGCAATTTAAATGAGTGTCTGGATTTAATCCGATATAGAAGTAGTTTTTCACAGTAAAAGTAAAGAAAATGACTCCACGGTGGAGTCTCCACCCAGATAGCACAAGATGTCCTGAGGACATCCGGTTTAAATCCTTTACAGACGGTCGCGACCAGAAAACCGATGGACGTCCTGAGGCCTAGGCCTATGGACGTCCTAAGGCCTAGGCCGATGGACATCCTGAGTACGTCCATCGGTTTTTTGCCTGCGACAATAGTTGAAGATACAAGTTGATATATCACCCTTTATAAAGGCCTTTATAAAAGGTGATATATCAATTTGTATCTTCAACTATTGTCGCAGGCAAAAAACCGATGGACGTACTCAGGATGTCCATCGGCCTAGGCCTTAGGACGTCCATAGGCCTAGGCCTCAGGACGTCCATCGGTTTTCTGGTCGCGACCCGGGTCTAAGTGAAAAAAAATTACACCTTGTTTTTTATTAAAAATACTCCTTAATCAAGCACGATAAAAGATTTTAAAAAAAAGTTGTCAATTTTTTTTCACTTATATGTCTATAGATAGACCCTTTATCCACTTAAGTGGAATAATTCCACTGGAATTGTGTCTTTAGTTGTCAAGTATTTTTAGCAATTGCAATTTTCCATATCTCTAACTTATTTAAAAATATCTAGTAAAATTAATTAATTCATTGCATTAAAAATATCATTACAAATTTTAAAAAATTATTTTTAATTATATTATATATATTAGGTATATTATATTTTTAATTTGTTGAATAAAAAATATCACATTGGCCAAATTAATAATTTGAATTAATAATATTATATGAGAAATGTATAATACGAATTAAAAATACCATTGGAGAAATTTCTCCACTTTAACATTTAAATAATTTAATTTGTCCTATAATATTTTTAATGCAATAAATTGTAAGAGTTTATTTCAAATTTACCGCCAAATAAACAGTTGGTATTGGAAGTAACCAGTTTAGTGACTTTAAGTTGGCAGTCTGAAATCCGCCATGTTGGCATTGTTCATAAAACAGCGTGTGCTGTTTTTAGTTAGCTCCCTGTTTAGTTAAATTTCTGTGTATTTAAATATATGATATAAGTGAAAACAACTTTTATTATATGGAAGAACCCCTACAAAATTTAAGTTTTCACTTGATATTTTTAAATAATTTAGAGATATGAAGGTATGTGAAATTCAATGGAGAAATAAATAAAAATAGTATTATGAAAGGTTTATTGTTTTAACTTAAGGAATATATGGTTAACGGATTGACCTCCTTTTCCCGGACACCCTGTATATATATATATATATATACATATATATATATATATTAACAAAACACTTGTTAACACTGTATTACATTTCCCTATTATAATAAAACTATGTCCTAATTCGGTCCTCATATGTCCCGAATTGGACAGCTTGGGGTCAAATACGGACGTCCTGAGGACATCCTATTTCGGAAGTCTGTGGACGGTCAAATACGGACGTCCTGAGGACATCTGAAACAGTCTATTTCGGAAGTCTGTGGACGTACTACGAACGTACTTTTGCAGACCCCGGACATCCTGAGGACGTTCGGGTTGTCCTGGGTGGAAGTCCTACGAACGTCCTACGAACGTACTTGTGCTATCTGGGCACCCGAAATAAAGTAAAATCTAGTTTACTGCGAGCGAAATTAAAAGGTCAGTACAATGTTCATATACACTTTTCAAATATTGGCGTTGAGAAACTATTTAATACTTTTGTATTTTTGTTTTAAGATAATAAAATAATTTTCACAATATTATTAGGCACTTTGTATTACCTTTAAAAACTGTCAACTAAATTAAAACTAAAAACATGTTGCTAACTTCAGCCCGTGACTAAAACGCCATAAAGCCACAACTGGTCAATGTGTATTTAAAAGATCCATTAGTGTCATGGAAACCTTAACGATAATGGGCGTTTTAAAGGTGGGAGTAGAAAAAAAATATTGTCGCTGTGATAAAATGCGTAACTATGGAATACTAGCATTTTATTGGTTCTAATATTAATGAATTGTAAAATGTACTTACAGTAGGTTTAAGAAAATTATATATAATCTTCTTAAGAAGGTTACTCCCACTTTAATGATGTTTTCATTGATTAAAACATACACACATGACTAAATTTTAAATTTTCTATTGGTTTTTAGAAACGTCAAAAAATAATCTGGTTTTGGGAAATGTCCGCTAAGGGAGCTTACAACATAACATGTGCATTATTATTATAAATTTTTATAAATATGCATTTTTTTAGATTGACAACGAATAACTTAACATATAAAAATACCTACAAAATTATTTACCACCATAACTACCAATTTTGTAAATTAACGTCTATTTGCATGAGCCAAATTAAACTGGTAAGTAATAAGGGTACTTTTATTATATACTAGTTACTTTTATCTTTAACATTCCACGCAATTTTATGTGTTGGTTTTAAACCAAAGATAATATTATCCCACAACCACAAGTAAATATTTGTTTGCTTTGGATTTTTTTAATTTTAGGTAGATAAATATAACGAAAATAAAAGAAATTGTAATTGGCTAGGTTAAAATTAGACGAGCTCTAATAATTTAAATTAATATTCATAAAATGGAGCAATATTAAATTCAGATACATTTATAAGATATCAATATTCTTTAGCATCTTTGTGCTTGAAAATTTTGACAAACAAATATATAGAAATACATTCAAGGACAGTAACGTAATTACTAACAATAATAATTATTGTTTATAAACCGAGAATTATTTTATACGTAATTTTACTTTAATTTTTACATAAAGAAATACTAGACACTGTTAAAAGTAAACAAGTAATCGAGTTTCTGTTTGTTATAATGTAGGTTTTTAGTAGAATGGGAATGTATGTAGACTTTACATTTTGTAGACAAGGGATCGGCAAATAATGTCTATTATTTTGTAATCTGTCACTTGTCAATCTTGTCATGGTTTTCCACAGCCTATGTCATTTTATGAAAAGATGAAAATCTGGTAGTGTCAAAAACCGGCCTTAATTAAAAAGTTGACTATCGTTGATAAAAATCTAGAAGGCCTAGAATTTTTTTGACAATGCCATTAAACTAACTGCTGTCAAAAATTCAAATCTACCAAGTGACATCTATAAAGCTAGAGAGCTATGAATTTTAATTAGTTTTGAATCTCGTCTTTTTTATAATAGTACATTAAGTTTATCTTTGAACAGTTTGGTACACTGAGAGAAAAATATTATAAGAAATATAATTTTTTTTAATAATGGATATAATAAATCTCTATACCTATTTGGACAATAAATCGATTTATTACTGTTATCATCTGAAGATTAGTAAGACGATTTTATAACGTTTAAAATATATTTCCTTATGGTAATTATAATTTAAGATGCTAATATTCTTTTATGTTTTATAAAATTTCTATTATTGTTAATGACTCATTTTTATAATGAGTATTAGATTATGTTATAAGGTTTATAACTTGATTATAGTGAGATTGATAACACTTCTAATATATTTTATTCTTATAAGAAGTAATAGAAGGTGTTATATATAATATAAATAATAATATATATATAAAACATATTTCTAATGGCATTAATAATACGCCCAATATAGTTTATAATATCTTATAATGCATATTAGAAGGTCTTATAAGGTTTATAACATTGGTTTTATTATATATATATATATATAATATATATATATAATATATATATATATATATATATATATATATATATATATATACAAAATTCTATCATTGCTGCGTCCATACATTTATAAAATCCCTATTCTTATTGCGTCAACGACCTTACTGCGTCAGTATATCTGACGCACTAATGTCAAGCGCTTATTTCTTAAAATTTACTTCATCCCAGCACTTTCTAAGATTCTTGCTAATACAGTTCTGTGAAGAATTTAATGCCCAATTTTTGTGTCCAAAAATTTTTTATGTCCGACCCTGCGTTTTTTAAATATTTAGAAAAATTTGAACACAAAAAGTGTGCAGCAACATACTAAAAATGGAAAAAATGTGTATATTTAGTTCAACCCATTTGACGATGAGGGCGTTGCGATAATATACGTTTTCCAATATACGTGTTTTTAAATACTGTATGTTGTTGCGTCGCACAATTTGGCAACGTCTCGCCTATGATTTTAATATTTGAATTAAACTCACGATACTGTTGCGAATAGTAGCGCTGTCTCCCTCCCACCGTGTGACGTCACGCTAGAGACACTTGTTCTTTCGTTTAAATGTAATCATATTATAATCTTGGGGCGCGCGTCGACTTTTATGAAATTTACAATT